TTGTGTTGCACAGTAAACGCACTCTTGCCCTGGTACATCCACAATCCAGTGTTACTTTTAAAACAGGCTACTGAGGCTGCTAACCTCGATTTTCTGTATGATTGGTTTGCTGCACCGATGTCCTGACTGGTCTCAGAACTACTGCTGCAGCCTCTAATCTTCCGTTGGTTCTGCTGAGATGAATTTCTGCCTGCCTGCTCCCCTCTCCTCCCCGTCACCTTCATCTCAGCACCCCCTTCCCGCCAGCGGAGATGTTGAACCAAACATTGTGCTCCACGATGAATCTCCCGCTTGTGGTCGAGTTTGGCTTTGAGCCTGCATAAATTAATCATTTGCAACTTCAAATAAATAAAAAATAAAAAGCCCTTGGAGAGAAACCCCGTCCTTCTATGGGAGATGGCGTGAAGCTGGGTCTATTATTCGAATTCGCTAAATACTACATAGTCCGACCGCGAGCCCTCCCCTTAAGCCAACGGTCTCAAGCGTAAGAGCTCCCGCGTCCGTTACTCTGCATTTCTGTTGGCTTTGTATCTTCTCCCTGCCCTGGTCCCCCCCTCCCTCCAGACCGTTCTGCTTTACTAACCTCATTCTTTCATGTGTATTTTACGTTTTTGCCGTGTAGGTCTTTCACAGCTTTGCAGCCCCAGGCGGGCGTTCTCAGAGCAAGGTCCGCTCCGCCTGATCCGGAGCGCCTCTTTCTTTGCAGGTTTGCCGTGTGCTGTGTCTGTGCTGTGTGCCTAGCCTAGCTGGGGTGACCAGACTGTGCGGATTCGTAGTTTAGCCCTGGAAATAAGATTAATTTTTTTTCTGTATTCATTCGTTTATTTGTTTGTTCGTTTATTTATTTATTTTGAAATACAAAACGGACAGCGACGTCTGCTGCCTTTTGTGGATACGTGCTTTAAATCCGCAGAGCACAGAAGCATTTTAATAGATTTAATGGTTGTGTTGTTTTGTTTTAGAAACTTAGAGATTTAATGGCAGATTCCGTATTTCTGGAAATAATATTTCACGGTAGAGTCAAGCTGTTTTGATCAGGGCTTGTTTCAACCAAAGTGTAAAAACTAAAGCTAACCTAGGTTCATTTAAAATGGACATTTCCTTGCTTCGAGTGGCTGGGTCTTATTTCCATGGCTGAGTAGCTTTTATTTCACACACATACGTGTAAAATACATCACATTTAAAGACTGTTGAGCCTGAGACACTTCTGTAGACTGTGAATCTGAACAGCTTACGGCTTAGCTGAACAACCAATGCACTGCTCATGATTTGAAATATTTGTCTTCTTCATGACAGCAATGCAAAATCATTAAAAAACCCGAGAAAGCTGATATATGAACGAAGTCATGTTTATATTTTTTTTTATCTGTACACTGAGCACTACCAACGTACTTTTGGTATGTTTTTCATCAAGAAACATCCATGTAAAGAAACAAAGTGTACTGAGTTTAGTTTGTACTAAAATATGTGCATGGACTTCAGAAAAAAACCCCAAAAACCAAGCCGTACAAGCTTTTCAGAGGAGTGTTTTGCCTTGTTCAGCTAAGCAGCCTTTCTTGGTGATGGCCTTGTGCAGTGCTGTTGATCTGAATTAATGAGCATGTTTTTTTGTTTCATTAATTACATGGAGATCTGCAAACAAGAAAGGAACCGTATATTCCCCTGCTAATTGGTGTTCCTTGTTTTACAGTTCATAGCAACCCCATGGACATGCCTGGGAGGGAGCAGAATGAGGACAGAGACAGCGGTATAGCGAGATCTGGTAATGGCACTTCGCGTCTTAACCCTGTAGACTCCAAAACTACCCAGTAATAATCGTCACTGAGGTGTCCGGACATCATCAAATAGTTTCTCCCATGCTGAAATACGACTGTTCTGTTTGGCTGCATGTAAGAATTAACGCATAACCTGTGCGTACAGGTGGTGTAGGTGTCAGGGGTGTTGGGCGAGGAGCCCCGCAGAGGTGATCGGAGCAGCGGCGCAGTTTATTAAAGTGCGCTGCCAAGCGGTTGAGCCGCATTAGGTATTGAAATGAGTTCGCAGCGTTTCTAAATGATACTTGTTGGCATCTCCTTTGCAAATTAATGGTAACATTAAAACGTGGAGTCGCCTCCACGGCACCCACCGCCTCCCCCTGATTCAGGGTACTGGATACGTAAGGCTGGGATTGGAAAGGCTGTTAAAGGATGTGATGTACCTCGCTCCTTCCCACAAAGGATTTATTTCCCCACACTCGGGGTTCCTGGGCAAGGTGCAGCCTGCGTGTTGGCTGTTACGTAAAGCTGCAGGGCCGTCCCACCTTGTAGCGCTTGTATATCTCGTTAATGGGGTTATAAACTGGTTATTTTTAGATAAGAAACCTAGATGGGCGAAAGAGAAAGCACTTGAGAAGCAACGCCAGTTTATCTCGAGGGGCTTCGTTTAGTTGCTGGTATTATTTTCCAAATGCTCTTTCCTTCTGGAGAGATTTTTTATGTATTCCTCTTCTTATTGCAGCATCTCTTAGCAGTCTGCTCATCACTCCGTTTCCATCTCCGGGCTCTTCGTTTAACAAAAGCTGTGCTAGCAGTTACCAGCGGCGTTGGCGTCGCAGTCAGACTACCAGCTTGGAGAATGGGGTCTTCCCTCGATGGTGAGCGGGGAACGAAGCTGCTGGGTGCTGCCCATACATTTTTCCACCGTTGTCAGCTCGATTCTGCTCTTGCACACGTACATCTGCTCTTGCCGTTGCTTTCTGCGGGGTATTGACAGAGGTGTAAGTCAGGCTGCCCTCCGACGCCGGAGCTTTTTTAGCATCTTGTTTTCTTCGTGGCGTTCCTTGTTGTGCGCTAGCTGGAAAGCCTTCGGCAAACTGTAAACCTGTAGGCTGTGTTTTGGAGGATAAGGAGCCCTGAAATCCTACTCAAAGCACAGTTCTTGGCAGAGGTGGGAGAGAACGAGAAAAGCGTATTCTGATCCCACAAATGCTTTGAATCCGGTGCCAGCTTTTGTGATTGCTTGCGTTAATTAACCGTTGCTCATAAAAAAAAAAAAGGCAAAGTGGATGTTATCGAAGGTGATGATTTGACAATACGTGCAAACAAAAGGTGTTTATTCAAGTTAAATATGCAGATTGAATGCGTGAGAATCCGAGGTACAACTTTAAGCAGCGGATTACATTCACTTTCTGTTTTTCGTGCTTCAAGGTCCATGGATGAAAGCTTTAACTTGTCAGATGACAGCTCTGGTCCTAGCCCGGGAATTGTTAGGAAGAAAAAGATTGCAATTGGAGTTATTTTTTCCCTCTCGAGAGACGAAGATGAAAACAACAAATTTAATGAGTTCTTCTTCTCACACTTCCCTCTTTTTGAGAGTCACATGAACAAGCTGAAGAGCGCAATAGAACAGGTAATCACAGCCTCCTTTGGTTCTTGCCCTTGTACTGCTCTGTGTCCCCCAGCCCTGTCAGATGGAGTTCCAAACTCCCGTTACTAGTTTACAAAAGTGGGGTTGCCTCGCCCTCAGGCAGCGGAATTGCGCCAGGAAAGAGCTTTGTCCACAGCGTCTCGGGTGTTGTTTCTCACTGCTGGGAGGAGCACAGTGCGGGGTGAGGGCAGGGCGGGCTGCGGGCATCGCGGGGAGCCAGAGCATCTCTGGGCTGCACAAGCTCCTGGAGAGCCCCGGCTCAGCCAAGGGGAAAAGGTGCTTTTAAGGCCACCTCTGCCTCCCTGCTTCAGCTGAGTCTGTTGGACCTCAGGGGCAGAACCTATAGCAAACTCCTTTCTTTCTTTTGTTTTTTTTTTAATTTTCTTCTTTTTTTTTTTTTAACCCCCTGATTCTGCCGTATTTGAAACTTTCAAAGATCAAAGTTTCAAATGTGCGGTTAGATTCGCTTTACTGCTCTCTTCTAGGAAATACTTAGAGGTTACTTTGCCGCTGCAATGAAAACTTTGGCCCCTTGTACTGCTTGAATGATGAAAAGCATGGAAGAAGCAGAGGCTGCGCATGCATGAGCCTCATGTGTCTGTCCTCAGATAGGAAAGCTGGCACTTGTACCATCATTTTATCACTTAAAAAAATATTTATTTGCATGATTAGTTGCATGAAAGATAAAGTCAAACACATGACTTTGTTTTCCATTTTCTGTGCTTCTCTAGCTGTGTGTTACTTACCTGTTTAATGATTGTTTTCAAGGCTATGAAAATGAGTCGTAGATCAGCTGATGCCAGTCAGCGGAGTTTGGCATATAACAGAATTGTGGATGCCCTGAATGAATTCAGGTGAGCAGCTCGTCTCCTGTCTTTTGTGTCTGTTTCTTCAAAAGCAAAGTCTGTTTTAGAAGGATCTTCTCCTTAGCGCAGGATAATTAACTTATGATGTATGAAGACTTCTGCAAAAGGAAGTGCAATAAAGGTGTTGGTGATGGCAGGCCGTTAGAGTCTGGGGGTTTACGTTTTGCCAGGTGTGTCCATCCATCAGGGCTCGGTGTGAGCAGGACGTAGACGATCAAGGCTTCCTGTGCTTTAGGTAGTAACGAAGCTCCCAGCAACCTCTTAAATCCTTTTTTATGACCCGTTGAGAGGGGACAAAGAATTGCAAAGCCACGTCAGGGAAATCCTCCTCCAGTGTATATTTTCCTGAGGTGTGAACAAAGCAAGACCTTTACCCTGCTCCGAACTCTACTTTAAAGGCATTTCAGATAACCGGTGATGGAGGAGGACGATCTTCTTCACACAGTAAAATGCACTCCTGTAATCTCTTGCTGTCGGTACCTGCAGAGCATCTCTGTTCAGCAGTTAATATACAAAGCAACGCAGATAAGCACACGCCTGGCATTTAACTGTATTTCCTTTCCGTAGTTTAAGTCATGGGGAGGGAATTAAGATGAAATCCATCTGTTTCGAGTGATTCATCTCCTCTCCGATGGGAGTGGCAGGGTGCTTCCTTTTACAACCAGTGTAGAGCTACTTTCTAAAGACATTAGGGAACACAGTGCTCTGCTGTTGTAAAAAAAGAAAATCCTGACGTCGGGATGGATTTTACCGACCCATGAAGGATCCTGAGGGCTCACGCGGTTTTCTACAATTCCACTCACGGCCTGACTGCCGCGGTGGCCGTTGCAGGATGAAGGCACAGTGTGTGTATATATGTTTTTAGTTAGTTAGTTAGTTTTTTAATTGTGTAGAACCTCAGCTCCGGGCAGTTGCGCGGAAGGGCAGAGGCCGCGTTCGGTAGGCGCGGGAGGGAGGGAAGAGCGAGCCCATGGGCTGGCGGTGAGAGGTGGATGGGCCGAGCGGTGCCAAGAGAGGAGCCGAGGC